AATTAGCATCATAAGACAATACACACAGTGACTCACCTACCACAGGTGTAACATCTGTGTAACATGAAGCAGCATTCAGTGCGCCATTGTTTCTGTTTAAAGAAATGCTTTTTGGTATGTTTGGTTTAAACATAACTCTGGTTGTGTGGAAACCAGAGTTTAGGCACAACTCTGGTGTCCGCTGACAGTGAGCCGGCCCTGCTGCTCGGAGGCACCATGTTGGTGGGAAACAGGCGCACTGAGTCTGTCTGCTGTTTGTGACTTAGAACTACTGTCCTACAGCCACCTCAAGCAAGGAGTTATTAGTCAAAAATACCACCTGATTTCTGCAGCTTACAGCAGGCTATGTAGCTGTGGTCCTGCTATTCTATTGTTCCTGTCTTCCTCCTCTCACCCCAACCGGTCGCAGAAGATGGATGCCCCTCCCTGAGCCTGGTTTTGCCGGAGGTTTCTTCCTATTAAAAGGGAGTTTTTCCTTCCCGCTGTCGCCAAAGTGCTCGTTCATAAGGGGTCAGGATTGTTGGGTTTTTCTCTGAATGTATTATTGTAGGGTCTACATTACAATATAAGGCGCCTTGAGGCGACTGTTGTTGTGATTTGATGCTATTTAAATTGAATAGAATTTAATTGAATTCAACTCATACTGCCTAAACTTTGAGTGGAAGCACACTGACCTCAGATGTGTTATTTGGTGTTGAATTCAACTCATACTGCCTAAACTTTGAGTGGAAGCACACTGACCTCAGATGTGTTATTTGGTGTTGGAGATATCCGGCATTTCTAGCTGTCAGTGTGTTATGAAGAACAGCTGGTGGGCTGATTGGTCAGTCAGAGCTGCCTCTTCAGCGATTAATCATCCCCGAGGCAGCAGCAGTGTCCCCACTGTTTCACTGCAGATTTGAGCAGGCAGATGTGGTTGGCTTATCGTCAGCTGACACAGCAGATGAGTATGTGTGCATGTTTGTGTGTGTGTGTATGTGTGCGTGTGAAAAGAGCATGCCCATCAAGAGAAACTGCAGAACATACAGCGACAAGTGCCGATCTGTTAAGATCAAACAAGGCAAACACTGTGACATCTTTTAAACTTGCTGTGTGACTCTGGGTAGGGCTGGGCCATATTATACCGTTCACGGTAATACCGGTATAATGTTAGGCAA